AAATGTAAACAAATGTGCCCAAAGCTGCATTAAACACATTATTACTCAATGTATATTTGAGTCTTCCTTGTAGAAAAAAACAAAAAACAAACTTAAATTATCCACCCACATTCATAAAACACATTCAGCAAGACAGGGAGGCAGCGCCAAATTACACCATGATCTGCCAATGGATCGTCGATGCCTGGGCTAAGGGATCAGTCTCAAGTGTCGTCCGTTTGTTTCGCGTGGTGCTCCTTATGTATGAAAATAGATGAGAGAATTCAACTTTATTGATATTGCGCCTTATAATCCAGTGTGCCTTATAGTTTGAAAAAATACAGTAATTTGAGCAATAGAAACACCTGTAATGAATAAACTCTAGATGGATATGTTTAATGTCACACCGTGGAACATTCCAGGTAAAGCGATAACATCTCCATGGAGACGTTATTGCACATTGCCTTTAAATCTTCAGCACAGGCCGATATTTTGTTTTGGTTGTTCAGCTGCCTAAAAGTTACACACAAAGCTTATTTTAACATTTTAATATGAAGAGATGCACAAAATGTCTAGTTTGGTCCATGTAACATTCGTTCTTTTGAATTTCAATTAAGAAAGAGGTTATTTCAAATAACACCAATCAAAAACTTGTCTTGTGCCTATTTCAGTTGCGATATTTTATTCTCTCTGGTTTATATGCCCCTGAAGTTCTGCTGCTAGAAGAGAATAAAATATCAAAATTGAAATAGGCAGGATGTTTTTTGATTGGTGTTATTTGAAATAAACTTTAAATTAAATATTGGAAATAGACGTCGAAATCTGTTTTTTTGTTTGACACTAAAACGGAAAAATGAAATAACAGACTTTTTTCCCACTTTATTGTTTTTCATTTTTAACTGAATTTCAAAAGAATGAATGGTACACGGACCAGGTTTGTAGTAAATTTAAAGGTGCATTGGTTAAATTAAAGGTGCTTGTATCCATGGAGATGTTATTGCTTTGCCTGGCATGTTCCACAGTATGACATTAAGCATATCTATTTCCATGGCAAATAACGCCACCGGGCAAAGTTACAGGTCAGATGTGTGGAGATGTTGCTTACAGTATGAACTTATGAACAATAAAAACACCTGCAATTGTATTAAATGCTTAAAGATTTAAGTGGAACTTTCAAGGCAAAGCAACATCATCTCCATGGAGACAAGTAAGTGGCAAACTCTTCACCACAAAAGTTACACAGTGCACCTTTAAATAATATCATTTGGGGAAAATAATCTACACTGGCTCTACATATCTGCCCAAAAATATCAACAGAGCGTATTGGCATTGGCCGTGAAAAAGCCCATATCGGTCAATCTCTACTGCACAGATGAAAAAACAAAAACAGATTCATTTGTTGTTGGCGGACGTCCTTTCATGTTTGTACTTCGGACAAGGTTGTAGAGGAGATGACTGATAGAGCCCATGGAAGGAGGTATACAGAGGGCTTCACCAATAAGTCAACCTCACTCTCAGTGAAGAAATACCCAACGCTCTATTTATTCTGCAGCACAATGTGGCCATGAGCAGCCTGGACTTGTCCTCTGTTTGCGCCTGTGATATTGTACACCGCTGAGAAGTAATAACTCACTCATATTGATCATTCTTCTAACGGCTCCACAAAAAACGCCATCGCCGCTTGCTCGTTTTTACCGTTATCCGCTTTAAAATATGCACAGAAAATCTATTGTTGTAAATCCCACTGAACGAGAGAGCTGGACCAAGAGGCTAATAATTGCTGTACTTCTGTGTAGAGTGTACAAAGAGGGTTTATCATGGGTGGGGAAAAAAATACTCATTCATCATTTAGAATGCATGGGAAAATTGCCTTTACAAGAAGTTATTGAGACGTTGAGTTTTCGGAATAGGTTTACCAACCCGTAAAAATATGTCTGGATAGAAAATATTTTAATCCTATCAAGTGTTGCTGTTGTGGCTAAAGACTGGTTGATAGTTTGACAAAGAATAGTGACTTATACAGACGATTCAATGTAGAGCTGTGGTTGACTACAAAAATATTACAGACTACACCTGCTCGGGAGCTCATGCAAATAATATTTATGCAGAGAAAATTTATCTAAATAAACACAGATTAAAGGTTTTATAATACATAAAATTTACTCTTGTGAGCTTTATCATTGTGACCTCCTCAAAAAACTGTCTGGATTTGTGCTTAAAATGCTCTGTTCCACCTTGTGATGTCATGAAGCGGTAGTGACTCTAGTAAAAGTGTATGCAGTTTTGAAACACAGTAGATCCTGTACTACCACCTGACATCATAAGGTGGACCATAGTGTTTAATGTTTTAGTGAAGAATTCTAAATTACAGCCCTGCACCCACGGGACCCAACGCAAAACAGTGCGCCATGGGACACATTTTGAAAGTTCATTGCAGGCGTGGGCGAAAGCAGGACTGCACAATGTGGGAGCGGGTGGGTTGGATGATAAACTGCAGTCCCTCAAACTAAATATGACTATAAAGTAAAATATACAAATGATTAATGTATGCCTATCATACATAATTTTTGTATAATATATTTGCGTGTAATAAAAACATTTAAAGCATCCTAAATTTGCGGATGTGATCTAATCTCACAGACATTTTAGACAATTCCCGTCCACTTCTCTGTGACTGATAGATCTTAAGAAAGCAAACATCCCCAACTTGCGGGATTTGCAGGTGGGAGCGGGACAGAATATCGCAGATGCGGGCAGGAGCGGACAGAAAATTCTGTCCTGCATAGACCTCTACTAAATATGCAGGATTTGTGTGTTCAACGTGTGAATGAAACACAACACAACTCCTGGTTTGTTTTGATGACGTAAACAACATTATAACACAGATCCGAAATTGGGCTAATGTGGGGGCTTTAAACTGGTGAACGATGAGTATATTTATAATCTAAATGAGCTGCTTTGTTGACTAATATACAATTTGGTCCACTAAGACGACATCTACCTATCTATAAATGAAAGGACTACGACACTAATTCAATGGCAAGTAAAGAAACTGTGTATTTTCTAAAAGGTCAAAACAGGCAAGAAGAAAGAACGAGCAGCAAGAGAAACAAATAAAAGTGAGATCAAATTTGTTGTGAATGCATCGTACAGTATGGAAGCCTTAAGGTAATACGTGATTATAAACCCAGTGAATGTGCACTGTAGTTTGGCCTATGGTAACGTAAGCCTATTTAAACGAAATTGTAATCTGTGGGGAGCTATCATTTTCCACCTGTGAGCTGTAATTCACACTGTTCCATCCTCTACGACTCCACTGTAAATGACTTTATGGTGTTGTGCGTCTGAATAATGGATGGCTTTTTAACAAGATGCTCTATATCGGAGTACACAGCGCCAATGTGATGTTTTAGAGGAAGATGTGTCTCTGAGAAAATTACAGATGTCCACGATAACTGTCTTCCATTTAACATCTTGTGGTTTTCAACTGTGCCTGTTAAGAGCTGGTGTGTTTTTGCAATCTTCACATTGTGTCTTCCATTGTTTGTACCATGAATAAACCGAGCACAATGCATCTGGAGTGAAGCAAGAGGCAGTGTAATCTCTGGAACTCTACAGGACTTTGTAATGCCCCCCTTCTCCTTACAATTAGTACAGTATTTACTCTTGGAGATGTTTTACAGACGGCATCAAACGTGCCACCTCCAGAATTAGGCTATCTACAGTTTCTTTGTTTTAAAGTTTTGGGTAACAAAATCAGTTCTTTAACCGTCCTGCACCCCTAGGTAAATTTTTGTACATCTCAACCTTTCTTTTTTGCATAACTGTGGCTATATTGCACCAGATAGCACCAAAATTGGCCAGTTTGTATATTCTGTGATGTATTTTTAATTTCTGTGTTTTCTTTCAAGATCACATTAATTAAATTGTCTATAATCAAAATACTCACACCTGTGGTCCTTAGGTACATTTTTGTCCCATTGACGTCCATTCAAAATGTCTTTACTTTACTGGCATAACTTTGCCAGTATATTTTTATTTTTTTATTTATTTTTCATTCTTTGGTTTTGAAAACCCTTCAAATTATTTTGTTTTAGTGTCTTTTTGAAATGTTTTGATGTTTTTTTCTTTTTACTGCGTATCTTCCATTACAAGGTCATATCAATAGAAAGACATTTGTACATATGAGTCCACACTGAAGTCCAGGGACGTAGATATTTGAGGTTTAAAATGATATGGGTGCGTAATATAATTCCAACACAAACAAATTAAAACATTTCTTGAAAGATATAGAAAAATATCCTATTTTTTCATTTTTTTTATTCACATAATTTGATACTTTTGCTGTCAAAAATGGCATTTAACGGGTAAAAAAAAAAATTATAATAATATTATATGGTATGTATGATTTGGGCAGAAGTAAATCAAGACATTGATATAAAAAGTTGGACAAAACTCTGTACTGCATAAAAATATTGTGGTGTTCTTTTCTGGTGTACATTTTTGTCACGAAGGACCACAGGTATGACTATTTTAAAGGAGTGCAAGGGTTAAAGATCCCCCAAACTCAACAAATCACCTGCTTTGAAGGATGGAGTTGGTATGTAAGGAGGCAGGTAGGATTCCACAACAGGAGCAAAATATATCTCATTTAAAACAGTTTTTTTTTTTTTTTTTTTTTTTTTTTATGATTGTTGATGGCAGTGCAAAAAAAATACACTGAATAACTCAAATAAAATACATAAATAAATATACTTTTACATTTGCATGCTTTTATGTTCTTGGAAAAGGACTATATTTGAAATAACTTGAGTAGGTGTGAATATAACCTCTTTAATCACAGTTGATTATAGTATTTCTAAAACTGCCAAAGTACGGAGGCTGCATGGATGCTTTGTACAAATGTATTTTTCAACATCTCAAAATTTAAGGAAGCAGAGCCAAAACACAAACTGGCACATGCGTTTGGCGAGTAGTTGCTATCGCTATGACAACACACATACCATTTTCCTTGTACTCACCACAAGGTCCTTTGTGCATGATGTGGATGGACTTCTGTAGCGCACAGCTCATGGCTCTCATCTCACAGGGGCTCCCGTAGCTCTGACCGTCTGATCCACAAACGGGGTCTGAGGTCTGTGGACAGGCCTCGGGGCATTCACACACTGGTTCACTATTCTTCACCACGCAGACAGCTCCGTGATCGCACACTTTGTCAACGCACGGGCTAGGAACGTGAAGATCTGAAAACCAGAAAGGAGAGTTAGGCACGCACGCTGAAAAGACGTGGCGATTACGAAGTGGGGAGAATATAAAGTGGAGGTTGAAGGAAAAGGACTTAGGGGACGAGGTGGGAAGTTAGTTACCCAGGCAACAGCAAGTGTGGTGTTAGAGGGATTTGGGGTAAAAACAACTGGGGGAATATTAGACCTGTCACAATAACTACTATATTGATGTTTCGTTTTATAAATGACAGATGAAACAATCATTTTGGGATCAGTACTTTTCCTTTGTAATTGTGGGAAACTTTGTGTTACAATTAGATTTAAAGATACACTACGCAACTTTTTTGTTGGGGGTCCATCACCTGTTTGTTTCTATGAATATGTCATTGCTCTGCCTGGAATGTTTCACAGTATGACATTAAACAGCTCTACCTTACATTTATTCAATTACAGGTGGTTTTAAAGCTCAAAAATGGCTAGAAAAACAGGTATTCTGACTTTGAGGGGGGTTGCCTCTCCACAGAACTGTCCCTTAACTTGGTCTGGTTTGGTCTGGAGAAAAAGCATTTGACGGATCCTCCACCAGAAAAGTTACAGAATGCACCTTTAACATCAAGAAAGCTAAATGCATAACTTCTATGGTCCATGGTAAATACAAAACTTTTTTTTAAAAACAATAGTATGCATTTAGAATAATTTTGGAGGGAATTATCCAGTTACTGTGTCTGTGATATAATTTTGAATTTAATTGTTAGTCATCTATATTTTCTTTCAGCAATGTATTTCACTTCAAAATTTGTAAATCGTGACAGGCCTAGACAATATTCAACTTTTTGTGTCAGCTTTTCTGTCTAAACTTCACATGTCATTTCCTAGTCTGTGCCTATCCTGATGTTTCCTGGTTCTTTGAAGAGTGCAGAATCCTCTGGCAAGAGCGGATAAAACATGGCCCTGCAGCACAATGAGATGAAACAGTACAGGGACAATGGCCTCTCAGCCTCTTGTTTTTGTTATTTTTCTGTCAGACTAAATGCTTTGGATTAATTGACATCCCCAGCGTATACGTCCTCTTCAAAGGCTGCCATTTGCACCTCAGTGAGTACGACAGGCTCAACCCAAGCTGGTGGAGCTGACATGGAGCAACGAGCAAAAGCGCGTAGAAATAAAAGGAAAATAGTGAGCAGATAGGAGAAGAAAAAAGGCGTCGAGAAGAAGAAACAGCCTTGTGCTTAATAATTCAGAAAAAGCAAGCTCCTGGGCAGAGGCAGATATGAAACGTGAACATCACACATAAGTGAATGCTCCGTGCTGAGTCGCGGCAGCAGCACTTCATTAAAAGCGGCCTGAATCGTGCGTTCGGATTGGGGAGAACAGTGCCTGGGTGTGGGCAGGGTGGTAGGGACAGAGTGGGGCTGAATAGGCAGCGTGAACAGGTCTTTGATCACAGACCCCCGGCCCGACGCAGACATATTCAGAGCTCTGTGTGTCAAATTCAACATTCAGCTGCTCTGTGTATGGCTCTGTTAGAAGAGTTAGAGGTGGGTCTGGCTGCACTGTTAACACGTGGTGCATTGGGTGAGATCAAAATCAGTGTTTTCAAAGTAAAGTCACGCTTATGTTGGGGCAATTTTAGAGCTTCCATAGCAGTCAATGAAATCAAACTATTTAATTCTTACATTTCTATAAACTACACAAATTAATTCAATGGTTAACCAATTTGTGCTCTCTTTAAAGTTAGGCTAAACACTAAAACTACTTTATTTTACTACTAAACTGTGTACATGGTGTTCTAATAGCATGGGGACAGAGCTGGGCTGAACAGACTGTGTGAACAGGTCTTTGATCACAGATCCCCGGCCTGACGCAGACATATTCAGAGCTCTGCGTGTCAAATTCATTCATCCAGCTGCTCTGTGTATGGCTCTGTTAGAAGAGTTACTGCCCTGCTAACATGTGGTGCATTAGGTGAGATCAAAATCAGTGTTTTCAAAGTAAAGTCACGCTTATGTTGGGGCAATTTTACCTTACGAAGTAGTCAAGTCAACAAAAACAGTCCAGATCAAACTGAAATCAAACTATTTAATTCTTACGTTTGTTATACACAACACAACAACTAATTAAAAGGTGCGCAGTGTGTGTACTCTTTAACTCCTTAATGCTTGAATTTATATAGACGTATATAAAAATGTTTTGTGTGTGTTTTTGCCTTTAAGTAAATGGTAAATTAAATTGAGATGTTGAGATTATTAATTTGACTATAAATAAATAATAGAAATTTGGGTATGTTGCAAATTTGCGACAACTAGAAACAAGTGCTTGCCAAAGGTTCATAGGAAGGTATTGCATCTTATCTTATCTTGATCTAAGCGGTTTGTTGCATACTGGGGCTAAACACTAAAAAAACAAAAAAAAAACGTTTTGCTATTAAACTGTGTACATGGTGTTCTAAAGGCGCTGTCTTCTGTTCCTTGTATTTTTTAATTTTTTATTTTGCAACTTTAGTGCACACTTGGTTAATTATCTGGTTTGTGGTCTAAAGCTGCCGCATTGGCCAATATACACGAAACATATGACACCCATCACACCCTCTGCTCTGATTTAAAACTATCTGAAACAGGGGTGGAGCTGGAAGTGAATCACACTGTTCCTCTAATGTTCTGACCCTTCACCTCCTCCACCTGACTCTTTTCTTTAGCCCTCCAGATACTGACCAGTATTTCAGAGCTTTGTTTGTCGGTGGAATTCAAAATAATAATCAAGTTCAAATTGACCTTTATATATCCAGTGTTGTAGTGAGGTAATCCCCCAACTGCCACAACTAATAATCAATATTAAAGGTGTAACTTGTCTGCTGGAGGGTCCCTCACCTGCTTGTCTCCATGGAGATTTGTCTCGAATGTTCCACAGTATTACCATAAACTTATCAATCTCCATGGAAACTTGCATGCCATATTACAGGTTAGATTTGTGGAGATATGATATTATATAATATTTTTGAGCAATAAATAGCACCTGTACTTGAATAAATGCAAGACATATTAATTAAAACCATATAACAATTTAAACCAAAGCATTAACATCTCCATGGAGACAAACAGGTTGCAGACCCCCCCAAGAAAAGTTACACAGTTAACCTTTAAGGCAATGTAATCTACGGTTAGAAGCAAGTTTTTCTTCTATAAAATAAACTAGTATCAAGTGTCTCATTTAGGGCAACAGTTCATAACGCAGCAATATTAACCAACCAGGTCAACTGCAGCAATTTCAAAGAACACGAGGCTAGTGTCGCTCGTGTATTGTAAACTGACTTTAATTTTGCTCCGTACATTAACAAACAGCTGGTTGTAAAGGTGGGTCACAGTTTCCAATTAGGCCTCCACACAATTTAATTACTGCTACTCATAAGACGATACAACACAATCATGCCACCAGCTTTTGTTGTGGGGTTGTTGGCATGGTAACAGCCCCTCATAATAAGCCCCTCCCGCTGATGTCCCATTATTAAGACTATTATGAGATTAGATGGCATCGTGGGGGGCGTTGTGGCACACTTGGCACCCCCGGTTCTCATTTATTAGCCTGGAAGTATTGGATGTTCCCCACGCGTTCCCCACACGTGTGGGCTAAATGATCAACAGATGACACATAAAGAGACAATTAGCCTGTTCTGGAGGACTGCTGGTCTGGGTACTATTGATTGGTACTTTTAAAGGCCACATTGTTAACATTAATAAGGAGTAACATTTAAAATAAGAAAGTCGTTACCTTTTGTACAGCTAAAGACAGAAAAACAGATTGCTACGCTTCCAGATTTAAGTGAGAATAGAGGTTGTCCCATTACAGTGAATAATGAGTAAGGATTGATTTGTATTGATGCAAGGATTCAGCGGAATACTTTCGCTTTGCTTTGCTTATAATGGCTCAGGCTTGTAGTATCAGCAACTCACACAACTGTGAGTCTAGTTTGATTTTTTTTTTTTAAACTACAATATTCACAATGCGCATTACAATTAAGGTGATGGATATGTTAATGACTGATTTTTCAGACCACAATTATTCATTGCATAATTAAGCAGAAGGCAGTGTTATTTTTGCAGTACAACTTACAGTATTTGCAAGTGTTACAGTACACATGTAATGGCCATATCATGTCCAAATGATTTCCTATTGTTGATAGTTAGCATAATAAATACACATTGCTCATCAACAAGCAACGAGTGAACTGTTTTTTCAGCACTTATAGTTTATGCAAATGATTCATGTGTTTTTTATTTTCGTTTCTGTAAAATGTAAACAAATGTGCACAAAGCGGCATTAAACACATTATTACTCAATGTATATTTGAGTCTGCCTCGTAGAAAATTAAAAAACAAACTTAAATTATCCACCCACATTAACCAAAACAGGGAGGCAACATCGGGTGAGTTACACCACGATCTGCCAGTGGATCAAGGATGTCTGGGCAAAGGGATCAGTCTCAAGTGTTCGTCCGTTTGTTTATAATCTGGTGCACCGTATAGTCTGAAAAATACGGTATTACAGAATATTCCATGTTTTGGCATTAAATGTATCTATTGTTTATTTGTCATCTATTCAGTTACAGGTGTGTCTGTTGCTTAAGGAATACCTTGAAAAATATGTGTTCTTTGAGGGGGTTGCCACTCTGCAGATCTGACCTGCAATTTGGCCTCTCTATGGAGATGGACAACTTCATTGAATATTAAGGAGCATTACAGACAACACATCTCGATGGAGGCTGATTCATACCTGAAATGTTTAACAAGCAATTATATCCTAATAAGCAAAAACCCTAATAGTTGTATTTTAAGGCAATAACAATAGTCTTGCAAATACACGAGAAGAATTTTAAGTACTTCAGAATCATCATGGTCTTAAATATATATAGCGTCGGGTTTGAATGGCAGTACAATTCCCATCCCAGCTTTAGTGTCTCTAAGAGGTATTACTCTTTGTGACACTTCCACATTCCCCCACGATGACAGGGCTCGGCCTAACAT